ACGGTTAAGATTTATTTTACTGAAGCTTCCCGACGAATAGAGCGAGTTGTGTGACCGTGACCGCGATTCTGGACGATTTGTCGTGAAATGGTCTAACGGTCTACCTACGTAATTAACACGGGCTCCGTGGAACGACGCGGCTCGAAGCACGTTTCGAAGCTCGGAGCACGTGGGTGGGATTCGGCCTAGATTTTTCACGAAGTCTTTTTCCTCGACGAAATGGAATAAATTAACATGCCAAATCTAGCTCTTTGAACGACTGCTCCGAGGAACTCCAATAAACCTAACGTAGAACGATAAATAGAATGCGACCGTAGAAATAACCGTGGCCATTCGGTTTAATAAGTATGTTGTAATAAAAAAGGTCAATCGCGAGAGAAAATATTGGTATCTCGGAAGCAACATCGATAGGTTCTCTTTCATCGAATTTCAACGTCAAAGGAATCGTAGAAGTTACATACATGTATAACATGTGACTTCCATCAATTTCATATATATTTGAAGTTCATTCGTCAATTTATAATTGCAAATAAAAAGAGAGATTGTGGATTCCATTAGATCTTTATATCATGTAGAAGCACAAAAATAATTATCTCTAATTTGCAGCCTGCAGTCGTTAACAGGAACAGCATCGCATCGCGTCGCAACGCGATAATCAGACACTCCACCTTCGACGGTGAATATATCGTTCAAGGTCTCGTTTAATAAGCGAAATCAACGGAGTCAGGGGCATCGCGCTTCGTTAATAAATGTTAACTCGTATACATCTGATGGCACTCTCTTCGGGAACACACGTACCGAGTGAGACACTGAGCCACTCAGTCGCCGGCACGTGTGCAGCCTGAGGACGCGCGTGGGCGCGGGGTGGCTCGCACACGGACGTGCTTCGCGGTGATATGTACCCTTGCCCTCGGCGTCGCGTCGCCGCGCCGACTCGAAATCGTATTAGCGTGGGCTCCGGGGTCCATGCACAAGAAGTAGGCCGTTCCAGTTGCACTCTCTCGCGGAGGAGGGAACGCGGCAAAGGTCAAAAGTGCATGAATTGTTGCGAAGTGCCTCGGTCCTCCACTTGCTAAAGCAGTACAATACGATCGGTGACCCCGTTTCACGTTCCCGGCCTGAAAACCACTGCTGACATCGCTGAAAAGCACGCTGCGATCAACTATATACTTCTGTGCGCTTCTATTTTCCCGTTTTTGTTTCCCCTTATTTACTCCCTCCTCCTCCTCCTCCTCCCCCCCACCCGTTCATCTGATCCATCCTTATTTTTTATATGCCGAAGTAAATGGATTCTTTTCCAATTTTTACATCCATTTTCACTTTGTTTAATAGAACTTTCAGTTATTTAATCAAATTATTATCCAACTATAGTCTATGTATACTTTAAGCTAACGCTTTGTCTTTTAGTGTTTGACTTTCGTCTCGTCCATTACACTTTGCCCGTTTGATCCTTTGACTTCGAACAAATTAAACTGAGAAATTGTTTAACGACTGGGCGCTTTTCACTGAAAATTTGCAGGATCTATACACTGTCCAACATTGTAATGTTATAATAATTTCAGAAACGGTGGAGGCAGCCTGCAAAGCTCAATTACTAGCCGGAGTTTTTAATATTCATTATACAGCTGCACAAAGCGTGTTAATGTTCCGCATCTGAAACGCGTGGAACAGCTTCAAAGATCCCTTTATGGAACGTTGGAGGTAGCAGTACAATGGAACTTATGGCAGGTATTTATCCTCGTTGAACACTTTCTGTGTATTATCAACGGACTCTATTAGCGCAACAGCGCGCGAGATGGATCCGTGCTGATGGGCCTTTTCTCGTTTTTCTTGAAAATTTTATATCAACCTGCGGCCGTCAGGTATTCTATTACGAATGAAAGCCATTCACGGAGCCAGCGAAAGACCAGCTTTTCCGTCGACTGTGATCAACAATGGCGCGCTGTTTTAAAAAGGAGATCGCCAAAATGTCACGAGAATACGACGCGACGCGTTTCGTGTCACATAAATTTTTCGTTACATTTGTACCAACACCAGACGTCACGCGCGCACAATGAATTTAAATGGAGATTCCCAGCTAGTATCGTACTTTTCCAATTCGTTTTTCCTCCGGTTTCCCCAACGTGTTTATGACAAGCTGAAAGTCACGGT